TTGCGAGGGGAACTAAGCCTGCAGGGCGCCAAGGTTCAGGGGACCCGCAATGTTTTCATCACAACACACCATTACAACTGGTTCATGACATTTAATGTCTGTGTTCAGTTTCCTTTTTTATCCTAAGTCAATGTTCTCTTTCTTCTTTACATTCAATCTTATAGAAAAAGGCAATGCATAGATGGTAGAAATATGGAAATGACCTCAACAATGGCAATAAAATAAGAAATAATACATACTGTACTCTCGCCTCATTGTACCATTATGCTTGTAAAAACAGATTATTATATAAAAGGAGGATAATTCAGAGCTTTATTCTCTCGGGTGTTGCCCTCTTTCAGCTGACCCCCATGTAAATGCATTAGCTGCGTTACACATACGTACAGTATAGGCCCATAATGCATGGGTTAGGTTCAAGTTATCATCAGTGCAATGACCTATATCTACTGTAAGTGTATTCATGATGCACTGACCTGAGTCACAGTTAACATATACTAACAATTATAGCATATAGTAAGCCAGTGTTTAAATGAATATATGATGTGTCCTCATTTTCAACACCATATAAACTCCCAGAATCTCCAGCATTAACAGAAGACATTAAACATAACACCAGTATGGAGGAATAAACTGGTGCATGTTATGAATGCGATATTTGGGTTTAGATGCGTTAACTAATTTGAAGAATGCTCACTCTTTCATTCACTGACACAAGCATAAAGGACCAGTTCAGCATAAGTGCCTGCATGTGTCAAATGTACAAATAACAAACTACACTTCGAACAAAAACCTCTAGCTCTATGAATTTCTTGCCTCTTCTGTGTGTCGTTTCATTGCCCAGAACATTCTCTGTTTGGTTCAGTCACACACTACTCTCACCAATCTCTTTTCCAGCACATTAAACAGCTGTTGTTAAATAAAAGAAATCTGACAAACCCACTGTGAACTACCTGCCCAGCAACAAACTAACTTCTAACGAGTAAGCCTATACCAAACCAGAGCTAAAAGGGAAGAAATGGACCAACATCCGTCATGTGAACACAACAATGAATACTAATGTTGCTCCTTTTAAACAAGATTAGTGAATAGGCAACTGTTTGTGGTGTGTTTTTCAGCTTGTTATGGTATTTCTATCCTCCCATGCAGCTCAAAATTGTAATTCATACATCTTTGACTAATCATCAACCTACTCGTCATCAGAAACACAGATAAACAGGTGCCACATATCAGAATAACGACCAATTAGGAGCATTTTGTCACTATGAACGGGCTTGGCATTCAGCACATTTTTTTTTTTTTAAAGCAACACAAATGAGCAAAGTTCCCTGGTGAAGGTAGTTAGCATGAAACCTGATATGGCTGAAATGTGTCACAGTGTTGGCAACGGTCATTAAGAAACTTCTAAAAGCAAGAACAGGAAATATTGAAACCGAATATTGAGACAAATGTCTTGACACAAAATACGTTTTTCATTCCAACCACTGAAGTATTCACTGCCAAAAGGCGTTTTCCCCATCAGGTATTTAGCCTGGTAGAATAATAGTAATAATATTAAAAACGTGTCTCTGTTCAAGTGTCTCAGTGTGACAGTGAGCCAGCATGTGTAATACAGGGACCCTGAAACTACTTATTATAATGAAGCCCTCGATAATTAGTATTACTTAAACCTGTGCTTTTCCTGCTATCACATGTCAAGATGTCCACTGTTAAAAGGGCTGATCAACCAAAGTCTTCATCTACCCAGGGAAGTCTATGGCACATGTTTTCTTTTCCAGTGCTGCTACACACACTCACAACTGGGACTTGGCCAGAGCAGTGGCAGCATTTTCTGCTGGCCACATGGAGCAATTGGGGGTTGCTTTGCTCAAAGGCACCTTGAGCTGAAGCTGTTCGGGGGGGCCAAGCCAGAATGAGCTTCTTTTTTTTTAATGCCTCCAACAAATATCCCCAAAGCCAGTGTGTGAATGTAAATGTGTGTGTGCTGAAACTGCTGGCAACACAAGCATGGATGCAGCGTTTAATCTCTGTGCACCATAAATATGGGCATTATCCTGAGAATCAATAGACTGGAGCTAACTGTCAAAAGGAGAGAGGGGGAGGGAAATGGGAGAAAAGTGTGAAAGATGAGGAAATAAGAAAGCATGTCATGCAGCAGTGTTGCCCCACCACTCTCTGGCATGCATAGATATTATTCATTGAAAAGGCATGAATACACTCTCAAGTGCCATGCTTTGAGCCACCTGAGAGTACACACACTCGTACACAAACACACTTGTGCCCAGAACTACTATGTGCGAACAGAAATCCTTCACAAGCACGTACACACCGAGGAATCTCTGTTCATGCACATGCATACAAACGTGTCGGAAACACACACCGATACACAACACTTGAGGAGACTTACACATACAAGGAGAGCAAATAAGGAGCGGAGAAGGCAGAGAAGTGGAGAGGAGGAAGGAGGAGCAGAGTTGAAAAGAATATGGCATGGAAGAGACACGGCCCAAGAGAGTTGTGTGAGGATTACAGGGAAGAGTCGGAGGACAGAAGGATGGATTACTGAATACAGAAGAAGGGAAGAGGGAAAGGGAGGGAGGGAGAGAGAAAAGGAGGAAAGAGGTGTAGCAGGCGAGGAAAGAAATACTACACAAGGTCAAGACGCGAAGACTCAAGAGATAGATTTAAAAAGAGGACAAAATGAGAAACAAGTAAAAGGCAGAAGGGGAAAATGGGAGGAAGCTTGATGAAAAAGAAGAGAGAGAAATGCAAGGAATCAAAAGGAGAAGAATTCATCCATCCCTCTGTGCGTTCGAGGACGGGTAGAATAAAGGAGAGGAAGGAAGTGATGGGGAGAGGAGGGAAGGGTAGTCACAGATAACACACAGTGAACAATGAAAGTGACAGCTTGGCTCGGAGCATGACTCTGGCTGACTGTTGTTTCATTATAATCTCATAACTGTCAAATCCTGGAGCGACAGAGGAGAGAGAGAGAGAGAGAGAGAGAGAGAGAGAGAGAGAGAGAGAGAGAGAGAGAGAGAGTCAAATACTTTCAAAATGAGAGAAGAGCAGCGAGACAATTGGAAATGAATCTGCACGTCTGGTTGAACTGAACTGAATGCACACTGGAAGAAAGCAGATGGAGACAAAAGGCTGGCACATACATACATTATATACAGGCACACACACACACACACACACACACACACACACACACACACACACACACACACACACACACACACACACACACACACACACACACACACACACACACACACATTTCTCCTACTTCACCTATTTACATAATTGTGTCTCTCTTTTATTCACTAACTCACTTCTTTAATTACTTGCCCACTCACATACTTGTTCAACCTTTTTTATATGCCCCAAATTGTTTACTTATTTGAACACTTGTGTACTTAAAGAATCACTTCAGTGTGTTACAACTCAGTCATTTACTGACACACTCCCTTATCAGTCATTTGATCATTTATTCACTCTCATATTATATTTCTCTCTCCCTTACTGAGTCTTACAGTAAACTCACTTGCTCATTTGTTCATTAACTAATTCAGTCACAATTCACTTCCCTCATGAACTCAAAAATGACACCAAACTAAATATGTATAAGCGAGCATCGTCACCAGTGAGGCTGGTATAAAGCAGTGTAAATAGGGTAGCAGGTCACACACTCCCAAGCCAGAATACAAACACAACACAAAACAAAACGCTGCTCTCGCTTCTTTCCCTTTTTGCTTTCAAGGCTTTGATCACTGACAGCAAGGCAGCCTGTCAGGCTTTTAGGAAGCCTTTTTCTTAAAGCCAAAGCCTGGAAATGCAAACAAATAAACAGCAAAATACACCTACAAACAAATTAGAATGCAATCGGCTTCAATTCAAAATAAATTCAATTTAGGACCAAGAGATACTTTTAATATTATTTCTCAGTGCAGGACATGATCAACATAATGGATAGTGAACAAGGATGTCAGTAAAGTTAAGTGGCTATTTGCCTAGAAAATCAAAGTGTGTCTATCTTTGCTAAAAGCCCACAGGGTAAACACTGAATAGAGACATTCCATCCGGAAATAAATAACATTAGGAAGTATTGATGCCATTTCATTGGATATCTAACAGCAAGTGACAGTCATTGGCTCTGCCAGGCGAAACCCTCTGCTTTCTTGTTTCCCTATAAAATTGATTTTCTTTAGATTTACAAAATTGCCGTGGCAACTTGGACTGCACTCAGTCGAGATCACCTGTCAATCAAAAAGCGTGGGTGGTACTGTGATACTGATAGCTGCTCACAGCTACAAAGCTCATAGCTAGAAGGAAAAAAAAGCATGCTTTATGTCTCTAGCTTATCTCCTAAGCTGTTAAAATGCTGACTGATGGGAACTTTTGATATGAGAATCTGACTAATAATTATTGTCGGGTATCTCACATTCAAATATGTATCTCTCTTCTCGCACACATTTTCCTCCTTCTGATGTGTTTCCTCAAACACACTTTCTTTTCTCGTGATCCTTTTTTCCTTAACCTCTCACCTCATCTACACTTTGAAACTCTGCAAAACAGACAAGCACCAATCTCTAAATGTTCACCCCCCATGCTCTCTGGTAAATCTAATGTGTTCCCATGCACACACATTTTCCCAAGAGCCTTCTCCTTAAGGGACTCAGATACATATAGCAGATGTCTTAGAAGCAGGCCGATAATCTAGTTGTCTAATTGTTGCACCTCCTACACACATCAGGTAAATGTGTTTAAAGAAGCCCAGTTCATTTCTCATTATCTCACATACACAAGTGAAGGAAATAGACAGAAGAAAAATGTGTTTGCAATGCCCAGAGCTCAACCAACCCTTTTGTCTTGCTCTAACCTGCAGAGTCTGAGTCTTTATCTTCACAGGATTTGTCATGGTGAAATAAGCTACAGGGGAATCCAAACTGACTAGACAGAAAAACCCTCCCTCCCATTTTCCCTCCACGGTCTCTTACCTGTGACAGTGATCAGCATGGGAGCCACCAGCGGCCTGTTGTTATCCAGTTTTCGGCTCAGTCGGATCTCTCCACTGGTGTGATTCAGGAGCAGCAGGTGAAGCTCGTTCCCTCGGTCGATGGTGTAGTGCAGCCTGTCTGACACATCGGGGTCGTGGGCGGGTACTTTTCCAATAACCCCGCTGGGGAAACTGTTGGAGCGATTGGACACAAAGTTGTTGAAAATGATTTGGAAGTCCTGCAGAGTGGGCCTGTTGTCGTTCTGGTCCACTAATCGGATCCTGACGGTGGCCCTGCTGACTAGAGGAGCCGAGGTTGCCTGGACTACGATGACATACTCGTTGCGGGCCTCATAGTCAAGATCAATGAGTGAAGTGAGCTCCCCTGAAAAGATGTCCATCTGAAAGATCTCGGGGATGTTTCCCTCCACAATTTGATACATGATCTGAGCGTGAGTGCCTTCGTCGGGGTCAGTGGCTGTGATCTGGGCTACCACAGACCCCACTGCGCTGTTTTCCTTCACTAGAACCTCAAAGTCATCAGCAGGGAAGACGGGGGCATTGTCGTTGACATCTAGGACCGTCACCTGGATGTGGACGGGGGTTCGCTGAGGGGGTATGCCACGATCTACGGCATAGGCTGTGAGCTCGTAGAATGGCACGCTCTCACGGTCCAAGCGTCGAACAGATCGGACTATACCGGATGTAGGTTCGATGGTAAAGTCCCCATCCCCGTCCTCGCCATTTTGAAAGGTGTACTGAACACGACCATTGGTGTGCGCGTCACGGTCAGTGGCTGAAATTTGGAGGACACTGGTGAAGGGAGGGGCGTCTTCACTCACTGTTCCCTGATATCTTGTGCTGAGGAACTGAGGTGCATTGTCATTCACATCATTCACGTTCACCTCCACATATGTTGTGTCTGCTTTCTGCGGGATACCGTTGTCTTTAGCTGTGATAGCCAGAGTGTAGGTCATCTGGTCCTCATAGTCGAGCTCTGCCTGGAGCGTTATCGCCCCTGTGCCGGTGTCAATGCGGAATTGTGGGATATTGTCCTCGAGAAAGTATGTGATTCGAGCGTTTTCGCCTACATCATCATCTGTGGCACTGATTACAACTACGGTGCTTCCAGGTGGTCGGTCCTCGTTCACACTAACGGAGTAGTGGGCACTCTGGAAAACAGGCCGGTGTGTGTTGGCGTCAGTGATGTTAATGTGCACCTGACAGGTGTCGTGGAGTGTGCGGTCTGAGGCAGCGACGGTTAGAACGTAACGGCGCTCCTGTTTGTAGTCCAATGGGAGAGCTAACGAAAGAAGTCCAGACCCGCCTGCTGTGCTGATGGCAAAGCGGTTTCTGGTGTTTCCCCCTGTTATCTGATAGGTTACAGCACTGTTGACATCACGGTCCACAGCCGTCACAGTCGCTACACTGGTACCAACAGACGCATCCTCATTCAGGCGAGAATAGTACTCCTTTTGGATGAACTCGGGCCGGTTGTCATTAACATCCATCACTGTTATTGTTACACTTGCTGTAGCAGATAGAGGAGGCATGCCATAATCCCTGGCCTCCACACCAAAGAAATAGTGCTCCACAGACTCTCGGTCAAGAATGGTGCGCACAGTGACCCAGCCTGTTGCCGAATTAATAACGAAGGGTGTGTCAGAGCTGGTGCCAGTTAACCTGTACTCCAGACGGGCATTATCAGCAGAATCAGTGTCAATGGCCTGAATGTGGAGGATGGAGCTACCAACTGGGGCGCTCTCGAGCACAGAAGCCTGGAAAGGTGTGGAGACAAAGATTGGTGGGTTGTCGTTTACATCCGTCACCTGAACACTGACAATACCGGTGTTGTTGGAGAGAGGTGGCCGGCCATTGTCCTGGGCACGAACACGGAGAGTATACTCCCGTTCTGACTCATAGTCCAGCGGTGCTACAACATGGATCTCCCCAGTTACACTGTCGATGGAAAACTGTCCACGGCTGTTGCCACTGATGATATTGTAGTGAACAGCAGCGTTACTGTCCTTGTCAATGTCTGTGGCACTCACACGGAGGATCTCAGTGTGGGCCCGAACATCCTCCTTCACTGCTACCACATAGCGCTTTTCGCTGAATTGTGGCACATTGTCATTTTCATCGAGAACAGTGATAAACACTTTAACAGTAGAAGAGCGCGGCCCCGGTTCCTTCCCCTGGTCAGTGGCCTCCACCAGTAGAGTGTAGTGCTCGTTGATTTCCCGGTCCACTGCTCCGCGGGTTGTAATGAGGCCAGAGCGGGGGTCAATCTCAAACGCCGACCGGGCTATTGTAACCTTATCACCGATAAAGCGATACCGGATATTGGCATTGGATGGGGAGTCTAAGTCTGTCGCTCTCAGCTGTAAGATGGGATACCCCTCCTCTACGTTCTCCCTGATCGTCTCCCTGTACTCTGTCTGCTCGAAAATAGGAGAGTGATCATTGCGGTCTGACACAGTAATGGCCACCATTGTGGTGCCGGAGAGCCGAGAGGCGCTCTTATCCGTCCCTGTGACTCGGAAGTAATGCAAGTCCATGTGTTCTCTGTCTAGAATCTGAGTGGTGGTGATGAGCCCTGTGTCTGGGTGGATGTGGAAGTAGTCAGATGATCGACTGTTCATCAGCGGGGCCATGGAGTAGCTGACCCTGCCTGAATCTCCCGCATCTGGGTCTGAGGCGGACATGATAATGACTGAAGTACCCGCTGGTTGATTCTCAGCTACTTGCACTTGGAAGTTATACTGGGAGAAATGGGGATGTTTGTTTGCTGCACGCCGAGAGCGGGGCCAGGGCATCAAAATCTTCCTCCCCTTTTCCCCCTGTGAGACATCATCATCTGCTACTATTATCAGTCGTTCCAGGCTCCTCTCTCCCCTTGTACTGCGCCTCTCCTCCTTCCCTTCCACCCCCCTTTCACCCCCCTCTCCAACCTCGTGGCTCTCATCTGCCTGTCTCTCTTTCTTCCCTTTTTTGCTATCTGGCTGTGGGATGATGGTGGTGCTCCTGCCCCTATCCTGACCCTTCTCCCTCTCAGCCTCTCTCTCTTCTGCCCGGCTTGCCTTTGTTATTGCTTTTTCCCTCTCCCACTCCTCCTCCTCTTGCTCTTTTCCCCCTGGTTCTCTGCCTCCCATTAGCCGCGCCTCTCTCTTGCCCTCCCCCACCTGTACTTTTCCTCCCCCAACAGCAACAGCAGCAGACCCCTCAAAACCCTCTCCCTCCCTCTCTGCATGTCTCTCCCTCTCTGCCTCGGCACCCATCTGCCGCCTATCTGACTGTCTCACACCTTGAGGCTCTAATGACACTTGCTTACCGGATTTTAATTGCATATGTGCATGATCCCCTTGCTTGGTGGCTGAACAGTCTGTGGAAATGCTGTCAGCACAGCCTGCATTGACCATGTCTAGTAATGCTGTCTCCCACAGGTCTTGTTGCTGTGTCTGATCATGCCACTGAGATTGTTCTATTTCAGATTCATGATTAAATCCATTTATGTCCTTGCTTTGCTCATCTTCGTTGTTGTTATTAATGTTGCTGTTGAATGTGCTCCATAAAAACACGCGCTGGGAGTCTGGGGAAACTGTCCGTGGTGCTGAAATCACGTCCTTTAGAGAGGGTAGGTCAATCAAACGTGTGGAGTCATCCCGCCGTGTGGTCAGGTTCATTTCCGAGAAAAACGAGAGGTGTTCTGCTGTGGTGCCATCGGGCTGAGTGAGAATACGTGGTGTGACTGCTGCTGCAAAGCGAGACGTGGGAGATATAACGGGAAACTTCGCAGGCGAGAAAAAGCCTGAGTCACCGGCAGACTCTGAACTTGCGTTTACTTTTTCTGCAGATAGACGGAGCAGTTTGGATAGCTTTACACTTTCTGCATAATCGCCTGTTTGTGTTTCAGGGAGGATATTCATTATCGGGCCCGCATAGTTTGATACAATATCAGCAATACCGCTCTTATTGGATGGAAAACGTTGATCATGCGTCTCTGTGGGGGAAAATTGGATGGGGAGATTCCTCTGAGCTACGACTCCCTGTGGGACCATAAACCCGGCTAAATATCCATCCCCCATTTCTTTTCTGTCCAAACAACCGAAGCAACCACCGGGAACCTCCCCGATGTCTCCCCGTGTTTGCCTGATCTGCCCTCTGGTTGCCGGTGCTGATTTCCCCTGCGGAAGCTCATTACCAGTCTTACATAGGCGCGTCAGAAACGGAAAAGCCAAATCATTATCCGGATAATTAGATAAATTAATATATTTGTAGCCTTGGTTTACCCCTCCCTCTCGTCCATCTTTTCCCTCCCTCTTCTTATCTATGTTTCTGGCGTGGTAATAAACTGCCTTTGCCTCACGAATAGGGGACCCACAACTATCGAGGTGCACCAAGGTACTGGGGTTAATCACTACCGGTGCGCAACATCTGTACGTTTCCTCCCCCTCCTCCTCATCTCCCCCACTCATCGTCCCCCTGTCTTTCTCCCTGCACGTAATGCACCTAGTCAAACGGCTATCATCACCCCCCTCTGTGCTGCTGCTGGGATCGATAACATTGTGCCTTCCAAAATGAGAACAATTACCAGCCCTCCTGTCCACGCTGGCAGAGCCCCAATAAGCATCCCGAGCTGTGTTTGGTTTGCTCCCCCTGTAAACTGGATGCATTGGATCTGTGCGGCCGGTTGTAAAATGACACATGTATTCCAATGTGGATCCCTGGATACAGTCTGAATTGTTGGTGAAACGGGGATGACATTTAAAGGTGTTTTTTGAAGCCTTGCTGTGTGCTGAATTGTATCCAGAAAGAGGATGAATGCAACAAGAGCAACCGGTTGGCAAGTGGCCAAGTGTGGGGATGTTTGCCGGGGAGAGGGCTTGTTTGCTAGGGCTTGACCAGCAGTGATGCCCAGGTGTCAGAGAGCAGCATGTGGCAAAGACTATCCTCACCTCACGAGCCCTCTCCCACACCTCTCCCCCTCTCCTCCTTACACTTCCGGGTGCCCCGTACAGGCCAGAGGCGTGCACAAAGGCTCCGGCGGCACCACGTTTGGCGAGGTGTGGCCTTGACGCCGGCCACCGTTGCGCGCACGCTCTAGTCCTTTGTACTGCCCGTTTTTTGCCGTTTTGAACCGGCGAGGAGGTGAAAGCAGGTGAAGCTGGAGAAGAAACAACGCCCTTCCTCCTCATCCTCCCTCTCTCCACTCCCTCTCCTGCGCCGACGCCATCAGAGCTCGACCTGCTCCTAATACCTGAAGGGAGAGGAGGAGGAGGTGATGAAAACGTCCCGACTCCTTTCAGTCCCTCCTTCCGTGTCCCCCTCGCCCCATCCTGGGTATATCCTCCCAGCGTCCCCACTCCACAGCATCCCTCAGTATGTATCCGCTCTACAGTCCACCTGCTGGGGCGTAGATTCCAGCTGCCTCTCGGCGACTCCCCTGCTTCCTCGCGCTGCTGCTTCTGTTGCTGCCGGCTCACTTTACCGGCGTCTCGGTGACAGAGGCCCGGGGTCCACCGGTTGGAAGCCCCTCCTGTGCTCACCGTCTCCGGGGTGAGGGCAAACAAAGGGCCGAGGACAAGCAGGTGGAGTGCCAGAGACGAGAGCAGGAGCGGGGTGAAGCCCGGTAGCGGTGCAGCCATTTAGTCTCTTCCTTTCTCTGTCTCTCCGTCCTTTCTCCCTCTTCCACCTCTGCCTATTCTCTCTCTCGTCCTCCCTCGAGTGCGTCTTCCCTTCTCCCCGTTACTTCTCTCTCTCCCTCGTTCCCTTCAGGACCGCCGGCACCGCCCGACACCTTCCCCCAGGCTCCCCCGTCTCTCCGTCGGCCTGGAGAGTTGGCATCTACCCGCTGTGGTCCGTGGAGCTGGAGGTCTGAGCGTTAGGAGCGGCGCGGCAGCAGCATCTCTCCTCCCGTTCATTCACATCCAACATGGCTTACACACTCTCACACTGACTGACTGGCTCACACACACACTCCCCTCCTGAGTGTGTGTACGAATGTGTGTGCGCGCTCTAGCAGTTTCGGCACAGCCCGGTGGTAGGCTACTATCCATCCATCCATACACACACAATCAGACTCTCCTCCTCTCTCCCTTTTCCGCCCCTCCCCCTATTGCTTGAAACTCTCTCTCTCTCTCCTAATGGTTGGCTCCCGTGCGCTGTTACAGAGCACCCGGGGCGGCAGCCATATCCACAACTGGAATAGGACGGGGGGATAACCTGTATTTTACACAACTACACCGTCATCATCTGAAGAATAACCGTCTTCAAAAAACCGCCCTGAAGGTGTGACACCCTTTACAGGGGTTATACCGACAAACCCTGCAATGCTTCACATTCAAATATGGATCCAAAAAATTAGAATGTGATGTTTCCAAACACAAACAAATGCCACAAGGTTTGGGAATAGCAGAACAATAATTCAAGCTTACCAAAATGTCAAAAATAACATCGTTTATTTTGATAAAGCATGTGTCTATTTTACTCGATTTTATTAAAAAAGCTTTAGTTTGGCCATGTCACGATCAATAAGGGCAGATGTTCATGTTATATGATATCATCCTCATTAAACTGCACACAGTGTATTCCGGTCCAGTGATGTAAACTCTGAAGTCAGGTTATCTATAAGTGACGTCATCTCCAGTGAACACCGATGAGTAATTTTCACACGCACGCACGCACGCACACGCACACACACACACACACACACACACACACACACACACACACACACACACACACAGCTTTCTGTTGAAGGATAACTATGTTTTGTTTTATAGGATATAACAGTCCCGCAGTGATTCATATATCTGCTGCAGAAGCCACATTTATTTTTTTAATGTGATTTATATCAGTGGTAAAGTCACATGAGCACAATCCAGCAATCATTCCAATTTAATACTAATTTGCTCATGGCTAAATGGGAAGATCCATTTCCTGATACTTGTTGGAAAAAAAAGAAATCACATTATGCAAATATGTGGCCACATTTCCTGCAACATTCACCCACAATCTTCCCATTCAATACCAATTTATAGCCTAATGCCGGCTGGGTGGTGCATAGTTTTTCCAATGACACGGATGGAATTGAATATGATTTCTTCCTGTGGTTGATGGGAGGAGATACACAAGGCGTGTCAGTCGGGGAAGCTGTGCATCAGCGGCCAGAGAATGTAAGGGTCAGCCAAACTGAGCCTCAGCCCTGCATGACCAAGCATGGGCATGAATCCTGATATCCCTCTTTATTATTGCTTTCCCTGTGGTATTGTGTGTCTCTCTTATGTTCTGTGTTTTTTAACTCTCAATTCACATTTCTAAGGTATTGTCCAAATAATACAAATCCCACAACAATTAGGAACAGGCTTCAATTTCGGTCACGCCAGGTGTGAGGTCGTGTGAAGAGATGATTGATTATCTAGGTTGTGTATCGTTTTACAATAGTTTTTACTCAGCCATATTGTCATTGACAATGGTATTTTGCATAAAATAAATACAAATAACAATGTTGCATTGTCCTCACTTATATTATTGTTATTATAATAGTACATTATTCATATTACCGGTTATTTAAATGTTAGTTGCTGTAAACTTTAAATGTCCTTGCTGCTGTAACAGAAACAGGGAAAACATATTGTGTTGTCAAGGCCAACCAAGTTGAGATATAAGCAACACTTTCTAGTCAAAATAAATGGAGGACTAAATGTTGTGAAGGATAGTTTTAACAATATAGTGGTAAAACAGTTTGTTCATGTTCGTGTGCTTGGACCCCTGCCTGGTGGAGGCTTGGAGCCCAGCCACAGCAATATGGTGCTCCAAAATGCATATCCTCCTTTTCCAAATAGGATTTGAATGCACAAAAGAAAAAGTGCTCTCCCTCCCTTCCCTCTCTGGGTGTCTGCAGCCTCCCTCCAGCCTCATTCTCTGTCACCACAGTTTGCTGACGTTTTTCAATCCTTGCTTCGACACTCAGTCAGTCAGTGTGATTACTGTGTGAATGTAGGTTATTGTGGCTCAGGCTGGCGGCGTTAACAGGATTTGAAATGGGTGCGTGTCGGGGGGGAACATGAGGACGTCTAGACAACTTGTGACTAGGCGGCGTGTTAAGCAGTGTGACAGGTATTACATATATGACTGATACATTTGATGTAATGATATCTCTTTACAACCAAGAGGGGAAGCTTTATTTTCTTCGCCATCATTCAGAGGGGTCAGAGGTCAAAGTGACCCCCTGGAGCTGTCAGGGACTTCATTCGGTGTAAAAGCTGGGATTCCTCTCGGTGAATCGGGGTCTGTCTTCTTGATGCTCTCCCCCCGAAATCTCTGAAATTGAAATGGTTTACTGTTACAATGCTCCTTGCTGGGAAATGAACGCTCTCAGGCTATTATTTTTTCAATTTCAGCACATTTACCACCAGTTAAATCTTATTTTTTTATAACATGAGAATAAGAACTGCAGTATACCTACTGTAATATGTCCCCTGAAATGAAATAAGTAAACTTTCATTAGGGAAACCATTGTTTTAACCTACATTTTGTTTGTGAAGAAAATGCTCTTCAGTTTTTTTCCATGGCATGACAGATAAAATGTTGATAAGAAGGCAAAAAAAGGGTACAATTTACAATGTACAAAGTGGTAAAATAACCTACTTTTCAAACACTGAAGATAGTAAACATAACAGAAGGGAATTTAGAGCTGGCAGAAGGGATTACGCAGCATATTTCACATGCAAAATATTTCACATGCAAAATATTTCTACTCCTCATAGCTGAATATGAAAACTAGTTTAATCCTTGTATGCCCTTGAAAGTCTTTGATATATTAATAGCCTTGGGTCTATCAGGGCAAGTAGAATCCAGACAGCAGTGAATCCGTTGGGGGGGGAAATGTCCATCATGAAGCAATTCTGAATCCAATTCTGGAAAATGGAGGGTTAATTACACCAAATAGGAACTGTAATAATATTAGAATATGAAAACCTGAAGAGTCTCTGTATTCATTTAGAAACTTGTTGAGATATTTGGCTCAGATTGTCCCCCCCTCAGGATATGAATATCATTTGCAATTTAAAAAAATTGGTGATTGTTCTAGAAAATCAGCATGGGCTGGAACATTGCATTATTGATTGATAGTAAAAAACCCAATGAAGAGAAATTATGGAATAACCATAAAAGTGGATAAACATTGAAGTCGATTGAATTGCCTTGAATGCAAATAAAAAACATCTATGTATCTACAAAGGGGAAATTCCAGTTCAAGTTCCTTCAATATTCGTCCTTTGCAATAAAATGTGTTCCATTTCAGGTTCATAATTGTATTTTGTACCTATACTGGAACATGCTTTAATGTTCAAAAAGGCTTGCATAGAATACATATTAGACTTCTGATTATAAATTCTTGTTTTTGTTGTTATAATACCAGGATAAAATAATGCAACAACCATAATGTAACTGTCTTATGTCCACCTTTAATTTCATTCCGAGGTCGGATGAATTAGGCTGAGTATGAAGGCTAATAGACGAAGTGTTGAGTGACAGCAATGAGGGAGTGCTGTGCCACTTAAAGCTATTTATAATGGATCAGAGGGGCTGGACGGACTATAAACACTAAACTAAACTGACTGACAGACAGTTACTACAGCACCCTGTGGGCTCTGACATCAGAGGGAGAGAGAGAGGATGATGGGAGGAGAGTATGAGAGGATGATAGACTGGGGAAATAGGGTGAGTGATGAGTGACGAGGAGCGGAGAGGTGGACGGGGGAAGAAATTGGAAATGAGTTAAGCTGCTGTAAAAGATTAAACTTGAAAATGTGTTGTAGAGGTTAATTTCCTGTCTCTGAGAAATGTTGAAGTTTTCTTAACATGAAGCTAGAGGTTGAAGTGCAAGAAGTAAAGAAAAACTGTTTTAAAGTGCATTATAAACATATGGTTAATAAAACAATAGGACACATTGAATTATAAGAAATATTTGTATGGTGGTTAAAAAACGGAATATTATTCATTACTTGCTTTGAGCACACTGCAGGAAGGAATACATTATTAAAAAATGTCATAACCTTTTGCATGCTCGGCCCCCGAGTGAGACAACATTACTGGAAATGTCACAAGGTCCTGATATGGGAATCCTGCCGGGTCACTTTTATTCAGAACGTCAACACCAGTGCCTGCAAACAAAGAACATGAAACTAAAGAAGGAAAAATCACAGATTAAATCATTCATTAATTCGTTAATCTTTCTATAACAAACAATGTCATTCCAGATGTTTGGAAAACTGCAAATGTTCTCCCCTTATTGAAAGGTGGTGACCCCATGGTGATGAATAATTACAGACCAATTTCCAAGCTCTCTATTTTAGCTAAAGTACTTGAAAGGCTGGTGAATGATCAAATCAAAGAATATTTAAGCTTGAACAACATTCTATCTCCTCACCAGTCAGGCTTTAGGAAGCAGCACAGTACAGTAACGGCTGCTTTGAAAGTAGTGAATGACATTGTTGAAAGCTTGGACGCAAAGAGCTACTGTGCTGCCCTTTTTATAGACTTATCCAAGGCATTTGATACTGTGGACCATGGCATTCTATGCCAGAAGTTATCTCATATAGGCCTGTCTGACCAAGCTGTTGGTTGGTTTGAAAACTACCTTTCAAATCGCAAGCAATGTGTAAAATTCAGCGGTCTCTCCTCAAGCTTTCTTAATGTGCCCAGAGGTGTTCCTCA